TGTGTGTGTGTGTGTGTGTGTGTGTGTGTGTGTGTGTGTGTGTGTGTGTGTGTGTGTGTGTGTGTCTCTTTGATAAGTGCCAACTGAGAATGTCTTCCCTCTGCTCAGCACGCCATGAAGAAAAGTGAGTGTGTGCACACGGTGTACGTAGGGTTACTGTTTCAGCGCAGTACTGTACATTCGCATACACACTTTCCTCTTCTAAACTAAACCAAACTTACAGGATGTATTTTAAAGTCACATTTAATGGTTTTTCTTTTTGAATCTGAGTTTTAAGGTTCTGTGATAACCTGGGGTCTGGTTCCCTCCTGGCTCCAGGGCCTCCGAATGAAGAGAACCACTTCTGTCACTTACCTGTGTTATTACAACATGACCACAAAATATAAACAGTCCAACGTAAATATGATCATGGAGCTCGTAATACATTGTACACGGTCGGAAACACATAAATCTTCACAGACAAGAAGGGCACTTGAAGAAAGCCTATCCAACCATCTTTAAAAAAGTGGATTTGCCCAATTATGCAGATCCACTCCAGATTTAATGGATTCTATACCTTTCCACCGAATTTTGTGGAATTTGATTGAGCAGTTTTTGCATAATCTTGCTAACTCAGAAACAGACAAAAACAACCACCAATGAAAACAACCTCCTTGGGGGATGTAATAATGTGTCAAGATGACTCTGCATGTTTCTGAGCATTTCCCTCTTTTGTCCACATCTGCAGCAGGTGGAGAGTTGCTTCTCTGGGGACAGATCCCCAGTGTGTCCCTGGTCACTGACCATCCAGGCCTCAGAAGACTTTGGACCCCCCAGTCTGTTTCATTGGCAGGCAGAAAGGTGTGTGTGTGTGTTTGTGCGTGTATGCGTGTCTGTGTGTGTGAGAGAGGAAGACTGCACAAATTATGTTTTCCGGCTCCTCAAGAGGGAAGTAGATGAAAGCCTCAGGATTTTCCAAGTATATGAGATTTGGCTGGATATGCATAAATTCTTAAAGGGTAAGTCCACACTGAATCACACAGGACTGAGCACTGCCTTCAATGGGTTTAAAGAATATATCACTCCTGGCCACGCGACAATCAATGATGTCACAGCTGGTGTTTAGCCTTTCACAGCTGGTGTTGCAGATTTACCACCTAAACTTTGTATGTTGTTTATTCTGTACAGTTGACTTTGATTCAATGTAATGCTAAAAGTCCATTTGCAGGAATGATTCCGTATGATTCTTATGCAGGTGTGTGATGTCGCCTGTGGGACCTGGCACATGATGACCCTCACCACACGTGAGTACGGCATCGTCCGTCCCAACACATTCATACACATCCCACTGGTTACTTGATGGTAACAACAGTGGGATCAACAAAGGTAAACCAGTAAAATTCTTCCTCGTCTTCCTTCCTCCTCCACATGGGTTTCTCTTTCCTTTCTCTAAATTATGTCTCGCTCCTCCTCAAAGCCCCTCCTCACTCACTTTTCACTCATCAAACCATAATTCACTTCAGAGGGAGGCATCATTAATGCACAGTAGGACCCAGCAGCTTGATGTGTGCTAATTATATTGTGTGTTTTACACGCTGGATGACTTTTGCTTAGTCAGTGATGAGCTTAGTCTCTGGTAATTGTTTTTTGGATATGATGAGTTTATAAAAGCCTGTGTGTGTGTGTTTGTGTGCGCGTCTGAGTGTGTTATGTACAGTATGTGTGTGTGTGAGTGAGACCTTTTACTACGTGAACATGCAGGTCTTCAAATATATATGTGCCTATGCATGTGCTGTCGTGCATTACGTCTGTGCACATACATGTACACAATATACTGTTTTAACAAGTGGCCCTAAACTTAAACTGATCCCACATCACACGCTTGTGTGAACTTAATAATGATTAGCAAACAGTCAAAATCTCCACTTCACTCTGACACTTTAAAACTGCATGCAACTTTAAACCTCCATCAATCCCACACAAAACTTAGACATGCACCGTCAAACCAGCGGTGCGCTGCATGACTCGCTTGCATTCCGTGCAACACATGTGATCCTTTTAGCACTGTACATCACTCAGCGCCGGAGCTGGAAACGCTGCTCAGCCTTTTGGCTAATCACGCTGATTGGAGGTGTCCTTTGGCTCACCTGGGGGCTTCCAATCCTATTAGGCCAACCGTCCTGAGCCTCGCACACCCAACAGCCGCCTGTGTTTGATCACTGGTGCTTAGAGCCCACACTTGTCCTCTTATGTTGGTGTTGAGGCATGGTGGAGAGGAGCAGCAGGGTGGGGTTTGGTGGGGGGGTTAAAGTGTGATCTCCTTAACTCTCTAGGGGGGCAGAGGGGAGTTCGGTGCCCCACCTCCCTCAGCAGACACTCCGCTGCTCCTCCAACTGGAGCTGGTCTTTAAACTTCAGACGTCAGTTGAGAGGCTGCAAGTTGTTTCCAAGCAAAAGGGGAAAAGGGATGGAGGGAATGGGAGAGTGAAAGATTAAAAGTGAGAGAATGAAGAGGAGGTTGAACGTTTCTGTTCTGTTTTCACCTTTTAAAGAATCTTTGGAGCATGGAAGCTCTGTCATGTGTTTAGAAGTAAATACACCTGATCCCATGAGGCCTGTCACCTCCCGCTACCCTCTCCCTATCTCTGCCACGTTGTACCTCCCCTCCATTACTCCCTCACCCAACCTTCCCCCGACTGCTCTTCTCCCTCGCAGCACACCCATTACTGTGGCTCTCCTGTGGCTCTCCTTCCTCCCCCACTCCTCCCCCGTTTGCCCCCCCTCCTCCTCCTTCATCCCTGGGCCAGGAGCGCCCAGGAAGAGCCATGTGTTTCCAAAGTGGACTGGATGGGAAATCGAAGCAGGGCTTCTGTGTTTATCAAGCTACAGCTCCGTCACCTTGCTCCAACTCCCGTCTGGAGGCCCCGGCAAATTGGTGACAGCAGCAACAACCCTGCAGCACACATGCCCCTTTTTTTTTCCATGCACGCACACACACACACACACACACACACACAC